TGACAGGCAATATGATTTCAGTAAGAGATAATGTAAAGATTAGTTTTAAGACAGTTACTTGTATCTAAACAATATATAGATTACATAATATTTCAGTGAGAGTATACAAACAAACCAATGAATGTTATGTACACTATTGATTTCTTTCGTAAATTTGTCGTTTTTACACTTTTGCTGTAGTTGTAGAATTCCATATAATTTCTTTATGTGGATAATAATAATTCAATTTTTATTTCTTACTTCGAAAATAAATATATTTTAGCAGTTCCACTTAGTTTCCGAAATACCGAGCATCAAATTAGTTTTATTTTGACTCATAACAACTGAAATATAATGCATTCTTGACTTTTGTATAATGCGACTAAAAATTCTGGAAAATACTTAATAATAACTTTTAAATATTTCGATTAAAATTATAAGGCCTACAGTAACATTTGATCTGATATAATTTAAAATTAAAAATTTTGTACAGCCGACTTCAATATAAGTGACTTCAATAAAAATTATTTAAGAATAACTCAATAACCATTGGTCTGACCTTGATCAAATTCTAATATGGGACCACACGAGAACTATCAGCTTTCATATAAAAAAAGAATCATCAAAATCGGTTCCCCCAGTACAAAGTTATGAGGTAACACACATAAAAAAAACATACACTCGAATTGAGTACCGTCTCCTTTTTGGAAGTCGGCAGAAAAAGGAATGTAAAAGCAGACTTTACCTTACATTTGTTTACGACATTGTTCTTGCAATTGTAATTAGGAAATCGGTACTAAGCCATACTGTATATATATATAAAATAATTGAAGTCCAGACTTCAGAATGTGGAATTATTTTATTATTATTTTTAATTTAATGGAATTTGCAAGGAAAACATCGTAAAGACATTAGGTTTCCTCAGACATTAAAAAAAACTTCTGAGAAAATAAAAACAACATAATATTTCGAAGACATAATAGATGAGACATTCTATATCTGTGTTTTCTACATAAAATAGTACACAATAAATTAAAGTTCAGTGACTTTCTTGATCGCATATTGTTAATTGTCCGTAAAAATCGCCGTCGCATCTTAAAAACATTTTTTTTTATATAGGATAGGGTGACAAACGAGCACACAGGTCACAGTCACAGTGGTTACTGTGACCCATAGACATCTACATCTATCCTCAATAAAGATTCAAGATGCAGATGCGTTGTCACCCGTGAGGACTAAGATGGAATGCCTCTTCTTTGCCAGTAAAAGGGGTCTCCGGTTCTCTACACTCACCATACGAAACACAGCAGCGTTAAGCTGCTATTTTACGCTGGTATTCTGTGAGAGCGTGGTCCTTCCCCGGTCGAGCCGACCCATTCGTGCTACAACTATACTGCTAATATAGCTGCAGCATGGCTCTACCACGTAAAAAATATATTCCTTTTTATATTCCTTTCGTGAAAACTCATCTCGGGAATCATGCTCCTATCATGCATATATGTGGCAAATATAACCTAAAGAGAGTATAATGTCTACCATTTTCTTTCCCAAAAATCGAACCTGTTTTTTTTTCGAACAGATTTTTTTCCTATTAAGGTACATAATTTACTTGAATTATTTCTCATTTCATTACATTGATTGGATGTTATTCCTACTCCAAATTAATACTATATTAAGTTGCACGCCTCAATATGTGAATGTTTATATGTACACTTGTTATTGATATGTATATCAGAAAATATAAAAGTGTGTATTTTTTGTGATAATATCTTAAATAAATAAAATACAAATAAAGACATATGCAGTCCGCCGACATGTAGTGGGAAGCTTGGCGGGCACTCCCTCGCCCTTAAGAAGAAAATCTAAGGGATAGTCTTAATCTAGTCTTAATACTTCTAAAAGTAGACTTGTGACCATTTTACTTTTACTTTTGTTCACACAAATGTTTTTTTTTTAAATAGAATGTGGGTGACAAACAGTCTCCATCTCATCCATAGACATTTATCCTCGATTAAGAATCAAAATGCAGATGCGTGCGGGCGCAGGGGTGACAGCTCCTGAGGACTAAGACAGAATGCCCCTTTTCCAGTAAAAAGGGTCACCAGTTCTCTACACTCGCCATACAAAACACAGCTGCATTCAGCTGCGTGGTCCTACCCCGGCCAAGCCGACCCATTCGTGCTGCAACCATAATAGCTGCAGAGTGATCACGTTTATGTGTGTTCTAAATATAATGTGCTCTAAATGCGCCGAAAAGTTCGTTGAAACATTAATGAATAACTAACTCGGTGTACCGATGCGTACTACTGACTTCTGTTCGCACGTCCGAGGGTACATAAACAATAACTCGACCTCACTAACGTTTTTCGCGGTTTTTGACTCGCTGGCGCCCTTCAATCCACAAATGCGTACAAAAAATATTTCCAACGTTAGCGCGCGTGCGGCCATCTGAGATCTAAACAAAGCGTAGAGAAAACACGTTTCCTCGTGGTTAGTTTCGTTATAACACAAATGAGGAAATACTGCAAATTAATCATAAGGATGTACATCTTTCATTTTTTTGGATTTCAGTATCTCTCCTCATCTCATGATAGGGTCCTACGTTCTTCTTCTAACAACAAAATCTGTATTCCTGTTCACTTCACCGAGTTCTATGGCAACTCCTTCACAGTTCAGGCTACACGCCTTTGGAACTCCTTGCCCGATGACATCAGAAAAACATCCAACAAGTATGTTTTTAAAAAATTGGTCCGTAACCATCTATTGAAGACAAAGCATTTTACTTGATTCATCCATTTGATATGTATTGCTAAACAGACGCATATGTTCATAGGTATTTGTATGTACTAATTATATATTATGTATTTAAATATGTATATTTGTATGTATATATTTGTATATATGTTTGTATACGTCATATATGTATAGTTTATTTATTAGTAAATTGTATGTATTATGTAGTTAATTATTATTTTGTGTACTGTTATTTTATTCTAAATTGTCGCACCTACGTCAAATTCTCACCACTCCATGGGTTGACTGGTAGAGAATGCCTCAAGGCATTAAGTCCGCCCTTTGTATTCTTTTGTTTTAAGGAATGCAATAAAGAATAAATAAATAAATAAATAAATGTACAAAATGACTATATGCTGTGTATATTAACTGACTATATTAACTATCTTTAGCGACACTGTAAATTTAAATAATATCCAGTTTTCAATAAGTTGCGTTCTACCATTGTCATGACAAAGCAAACGAGTTAAACGAGGGAAAGTACAATATTTTGCTTTTTGGCCGTAACAGTCACAGCTGGACGTGGATCTCTTTAATTGTAGAGAGGATTTGCCGAAATCATCACGTATACCGGGCATGGAATGGCTATTGCAGAAGCAGACGTCCCGAAGACAGCTCTTAATCTCCGGAAAATCTCAACCACGTTTATTGAAGCCCAAACATCAGCTTTCTGGCATATCCAATAGTCGTCCCTTATGAGATATCCGTTTTTTTTTAAACTGGCTTTACGGCTCTGGGTTCTAGCCCTTCTGAGCATGATCAACGTTTGATGGATTCTTCAACGCCAATAAAAGGAACAACTTGTTAAGAAGTATAAAAAGGAATTACTTTTTATTTCAAAAGTTACTTAACATTTAATGTGAAATAATTATCTGAAAAAAACACCAGAAGATTATGATAATTTAGGTTCAAATTTCATAAGATCCATAAATATGACGATAAACTCAGCACAGCTATAAATAATTAATCAAAACTTAAATTTAATACGCACTTAAGTGTAGTTTTTTAGTATTACGGCAATAAAAGAAGATTTGATGAAGTTTTCTAATGGCGGCCCTTCAACTTTCTCCAATAGATTGTCACTTACGTTTTGAATATTTTACTATTATTAAAATTAAATAGCAGTTATGTAATATTAAATCGTTTGCGTAATATCTACGAAGCCCGTGCGTTATGAAAATTATGTTATCATATAAAATATACGTGTCAAGAATATTTATAACTATTTGTCTTTGTTAGATTCTTTCTTTCTCTCCTCACATACTGCTACTTGTTTTGTTCTTACAAATATAAATTAACGTCCTTTTCCTTTTAATCCACAACTATAAATTATTAACTGCTAATCCCGATAGGCGATAGATGGTCCTTCCATCTCTTATAATGGTCGGGATTTGCTGTTAAAATACCACATATTATCTTAAAGATTTACCTATTTCTATAGGATTACCTAGTTCCCCCGTGACCATGGGTGCTGTAAAGTGCTCGAAATGTCGGGAATATAAAATAAGTTAATATACGCGATAAAATCCGTAATACTAGTTTTATTTAAATGTGTAGTGTTCGCGTAAATATAAGAAATCATTAGGATTACCTATTTCTAGATATGGATTTACCTATTTCTAGGTATATATATATATATATATATATATATATATATATATACCTAGATATATATTTCTGCTGATAGTAATATCTTTCTCTATCTCTAACTCTGTGAGACTGTGGTGACTAACTTGGTAAGCGTTCGTCTCAATTTTTTTATAACTGCTAGCGTAAATTGTTACTTGCAATGTTTAATGCTTTTACCATGTGGTTGGATTTGATAGTATCATCGTAAATTACTTTCTGACTGCCGTGTGAAGTATCTTAACACGCATATATCGATCGACACGAGCTAAGCAGTCAGAGGTGGGGTTCCACACCCCATTCGGACACCGGTTAGATAGCTCAATAAATCTCAAGAGAGGGGACATGATGATTGGTAACAATACCAAATCATAAACCATTCTCATCCTCATTATCATTGTCTTTACCTTTTTGAAATATTCGCAGCCTGAAAAGCCTGTGTCTGATTAAGCTGTAAGAGCCGTATAGGCTAACAGCACGAACATCACAGAAAATAGATGGGCAGTGCGGCGAACCATTCCCTGTTTCAAAACCTTCCAAATTAGACGAGGCGTAAAAATATTGTACCGTGCAATTTCTTTAACTGTTGATTTCTTCCGCAGGTGTCCTCCGACAGTATTACAATGGCGATGACGAGTCTTGGGCGTGGGTCCGAGCGGCAGTGCGCAGCGGATGTCTGCTGGCCTGGCGTGACGGCACCCTGCCACGGCGACCCGCGGCCAGCCTGCCGTTGCGCCACTTGCATCTGCGCGCTGCCGCGAAATTGCCCAACGCGTTTCAGCTCTCGCGACTGCGCGATGACGCATCCGTCGCCACATTTCAGGTGAGCAGTATCTTAAAAAAAAGAAAAAATGCAAAATATTTTTCAATATGGTTGGAAATGATAGTAAATTAAAGTTAATGGGAAAAACTGCCTTTATAAACCACACATTTGGGCACAGGCCTTTTATTTCTAAGATGTTTTTTAAACAAAGGGTGACAAACGAGCACTCAGTCCACCTGATGGTAAGTATGTATGGTTGTAACTGTGGCCTATAGATATAACGCGTTGTCACCCCTGCGATGGAATGCCTCGTTTTCAGTAAAAAGGGTCTCCGGTTCTCTAAGACAGAAGTTATACGGTATACGGTTCTCAGGTGAGCGAAGTGTCTTCAAAGCAGTAAAAAATTGCAGATTTTTCGGTTACAGGGGTTTGAATTAGTCCGCTGCGCTGCTACAATGCGTGTTGGCCGAGTTCACATGTGCTCGAATTTTTTTTTCCTATACCCATGTTTGTTTTGTAATAACATGCAGTTGCATTATCTTGCTTTTTTTTTAATTAAATTAAATATACAAATCTACTTATTTTGAAATCTTCGTTTTTATATAGCTACGTCCAATTAGGCATATATTCAGAGGTAATTTATTAGGGGCTGTAAAAATGCTTATGAAAACTTTCTTAAAGTCGCTACATACATACGTGAAATTTGTTTGGATTCTACTTGCTCATTGGTTCATGAAAAATCTATCGTAAGTGTTTTGCTGCGACTCGTCGGATCGGGGATTCGAATGCTACACAAAACAAGTATTTGCATTACCTACAAATATTGTATAAGTAATACCAGAGATAAAACATAAAAAATAATAACAATTACATAACTTTTATTTCGCCTTCATTCTAAAAATAAATTAATCTGCAACCATTTTTAGGGTTCTGTACCCAAACGGTACCCAACGTTACCCTATTACTAAGCCTCCACTGTCCCTCCGTCCGTCCGTCCGTCTGTCTGTCAATAATATTTATACAGATGAAATTTTCACAGAATGTGTATTTCTGTTGCCGCTATAATAACAAATAATAAAAATATAAATAAATTAAAACTTAAAAGGGGTTCTCCTACTAGAAACGTGTTTTACCATGGTACGAAACCCTTCATGCGCGAGTCCGACTCGCACTTGACCGGCTTTTTTTTATTCGACAATTGACAACTGGTGGTCAAAATATTCGCCATATAATTCGAGGTGCCCTAAAAGTTTCTAAAACGAATATTCTACTGAATATTCTATTTAACCTGCCTTTAGCTTGAGCTAAAAATATCAAAAAAGTAACTCTATCCTTTGAGACGTTAAGTGCATATCGCGTGTCAATATTAAATTGGTGAAACAGTAGAGCTAACCGGAAATGTTGCAAGAAAGAACTACTTGTAAATTATTCATTGCAGGCGTTTTTAATGTAGGTATTCCTTCTTAATGATTTGACTTCTTAGTTTATTTAGTTCACATACATTTGAAAGTGGAATAAGCACAATAAACAGAGTAAAGTTGTTTTATTTCTACTCACCCAGATTTTTAATAATAATTTATCTGTGCCCGGCACGCTATACTTTCTTTAATTGTAATTTTTTTTAATTATTCCTTTTTCATTAAAAAAAGTTGTGTTTTAGTGGAAGTCCAATACAATATTTAAGCAACAAGTTTATCTATAAAAAATTATATAAGTACTTACTACGTTTAAAAAGTATACTTTTTTATTATTTTTTCTTCATATTTTATCTATCATCACTCCACACAAACACACCACTCTTACACACCTGATGTACGTGGATGACATAAAATTATACAGTAACACTACACAGCGCCTTGCAGACACCACCCAATCTTTCTCAAAGGACATTCATATGGAGTTTGGGATCAACAAGTGCAAAACATTTTCGGCTAAAAACGGAAAAATTAACCGTAATAGCTATAGCCTAATATCAGGAGACACGATTGAACCCCTAGAACCCTTCGCCTCATATAAATACTTAGGTTTCCAACAAGCGCGACAGATTCATCAAAAGGAAACGAAAGAAGGTCTCAAAAAGAAATTTAAACATCGGCTCAATAGTATATTCCGGTCTCAGCTCAACTCCCGCAACATGTCAAAAGCAATCAACAGTTACGCAATCCCCATACTGACATATTCTTTTAGTGTAATAAACTTTACTCAAGGTGACCTTATCAATCTACAACGTATTATAAATACCACTCTAAAGACTCACTGCAAGCACCACCCTAGATCCTGCGTACAAAGATGACTTTTTCAAGATCCGATGGAGGACGAGGTATAATAGATGTCTTCAACTTGCATAATAAACAAATCAAATGTCTTCGACAATATTTCTATCAACGCTCAGAATACTCACCTCTCTACGAAATAGTAACCTTAGTCTATATAATATAGAATATAGAAATACACAACGCAACGGATGGATCACTGACGTAAAAGAGAAGATCGCCTCATGGTAACAGAAGTCCCTACACGGAAGGCACTATCACGAACTGCAGCACCCACATGTCGACAAAAAAGCGACGAACGCATGGCTGAGGCGCGGTGAACTCTTCCCAGAGACGGAGGCCTTCATGTTAGCGATCCAGGACCAGGTCATCGATACCCGAAACTTCCAGAGACACATAATACGCGCACCTAACCTTCCCACCGATACTTGCAGACATTGCCACTCTAGTCCCGAAAACATACAACACATTACATCCGCCTGTAGAGTTCTTGCACAAACCGACTATAAACACCGGCATGACCAGGTACCTTCCATAATACACCAACATCTTTTTTTATAGGATAAGAGTGACAAATGAGCACACAGTCCACCTGATGGTAAGTGGTTGCTGCGGCCCATAGACATCTACATCTATCCTCTATTACAAATCAAAATGTAGATGCGTTGTCACTCGTGAGGACTAAGATGGAATGCCTCATTTCCAGTAAAAAGGGCCTCCGGCCACCTGCACTCACCAAGCGAAACGCAGAGGTAAACCTCTACTTCACGCTGCTTTTCTGTGAGGTCGTGGTACCACACCGGTTCGGACGGCCCATCCGTGCGACAGCAAAAGCTGCCGCGTGGCTCTACCACTGTTAAATCTATACATCTTGCGCTTAAATTCAAATTTATACAAAAAATAAATAATAATTGTATTTATTTTTTGTATTTTGTAATTTTATAAAAAAATAATTGTAATATGGTATCCATATTACAAATATAAACCTATATATAATTATATTAGAAAATAATAATCATAGAATTTACTGGGACAGGACCATTATCACGGATAAAACTATCCATTTCAATAGGCCAGGTATCACAATGTATGACAAAAATAACAAAACTACTTAGCTTATTGACATTGCCATACCAAACATCCATAACATTCAATCCACCATTGCTGAAAAACTTACAAAATATCAAGATTTAGCAATAGAACTGAAGCGTCAATGGAAAGCAGAAGCCATCCATATAGTCCCAATAGTTATCTCATCTACCAGAGTCATACCTAAAAGCCTACAACGCAGTTTAGATATTTTGCAAGTACACCAAAACACACTTTACACCCTGCAGAAAGCCATTCTCAACACCTGCCGACTCACACGCAAATTCCTCACCACTTCATCCGTCACCTCCGCTTACACCATCACCTAGCACCTACTCACGCTTGGCTTCGGCCCGTGTGATTAGGTTTTAATTTACCTCTTTAATAGGGAGAATATAGATATATAATAATAATAATTATAAAATAAAAATGTGGTAAAAAGTCCACTCTTAAGAGTACAAAATTAAGACAACATTCTAGTTCATACTTTGGTGAGCTTGTGATATTCCTTGGTCCACTCACAAGGGTAAAAAATAACGTTTGTAATAAAAAATATAAGCCAAATTCAAAGAACTAAAAAAATCTCTACGTGATAGCTTCAAGTGGGGATTTTAATTACATCTACAATTACTATCTTTTTGTTTGATTTAGCAAATCAACTCACCAGTTTTATCGTAGTCTGAAGGATTATAGGAATGCATAGAGAAAGAAAAAACAAACAAACATAACTTACATTCAAAAATATTATGTATTAAATTTTTATCATTTTTTTGTTCATTATGCTCTTACAATTTTTTTTAATATAAGTGGGGCAAACGAGTATGCGGCTAACCTGATGGTGACTACCGTCGCCCATGAACCACTGCAGCACCACATGAATTTTAGGTTAAATTGTAATTATACGCTGCCGGCCTTTAAAAAAAGAGTAGGCTCTTTTCTTGAAGGTCCTTATGTCGTATCGGTCCGAAAAAATCGCTGATGTGGCTGATTCTACAAAGGTATTTTGTGAGGTACAAATTAGTTAGAAAATAAGTAAATTTCTAACGGATGATCAAACAATAAAATCCTAAAAATCTAAGAGCCAGAAAAAGTTATTGCTTACATTAGTTTCTCTCGCATATCTCAAAAAAAATGATGTTATCTAAATTATTTTATTCGACGCTTAATTGCATATTTTTTATAGGATAAGGGTGACAAATGAGCACACAGTCCACCTGAATGTAAGTGGATGGTGTGGCCCATTGGCATCAACATCTATCCTCGATTACGAATCAAAATACAGATGCGCTGGGCGTCTCCGGTTCTCTACACTCACCATACGATACATAGCGGCGTTAGCTATTATTTTACCCTGGTATTTTGTGAGATTATGAATATCTGATAAAAATGTGATTAAAACAATGTTTTATACATAAAATCGGACTTGCAATATGTCACCATTTATGAAATCGATAGTTTAGAGCAAATAGCAGCCAAACCAATTTTTCTTGTTTCCCTCCACGTTGTAAGAAAATTCAAATCCATTGCTTACTTCTCGTGATGTTTACAATTTATTTGTGTCATTATGTTTTTTTAAAATTACGAAATCGAATTAAATCGAAATGTTTACTTAAGCTAGTCACGCATTCATATTCATGTCGCAACCAACCAGTCAATAACTGTTGCAAATTTATGAAACCATTGTCTCGATATACAATGCCTGTTGTCATTATATTATAGAGTTTAACTACATAATGCGATCTGTACGTATTGTATCATTTCATTTTGTTTTGAAAGTAAAACAAAAAAAAAACATGTGTGCAAGTCACACGCGGTAGAAGTAATCCTTCAGAAAATGGTACAGTATAGATGCATATGTTTGTCTCTTTTAGTGTCGTTTTTTCATTTCATCGATTCATTTCGATTATAAAAAAGTTTTCACATCAAAAATAATTGTCATAAACACTAAAATAATAGACAATAAAACGAATTTCAATACCTTACTCTAGTTCTAGGCACCATGAGGTAACTTTAAAAAAAAAACATCTATTAAAATTATCTCAAGCTTGTTACCCAGAAGGGGTTCATCATCATCTTTACAGTCCTTCACAAGTCCACTGCTGAATATAAGCCTCCTCCAAGGAATGCCCAAAGCACGGTCCTGAGATACCTGCATCCATCGACCTCCTGTATGTCGAACCATGTCGTCACTCCATCTAGTAGGGGGTCGCTCTACACTTCGCCTACCGGTAGGAGGCTGTCAGTCGAGAACCTTTTTTCCCCATCGGTTGTCGGTTCTTTGAGCTATATGGCCGGCCCATTGCCACTTCAGCTTACTAATCACAAGAGTTTGATTATAAGAAATTCCATTTTGCACGATCCTGTAAATAAATATAAGACACCGCATCTTTGCTTACCTCTTGTCGCATAATTGTTTCCTAGATCAGAGGTTAGTCAGGATGCGAGGGTACCTTCTGTTTTTGCGCTCCTATGTCTATTACTGGACATTATACCTATCCACGATTTACTCACGTTTACTACTTAACCAACTACCTTTGGCCTCACCATGATGACGTCAAGTCCCTCAGGTCTTTAGTAATTAAGAACGAACGAGACCATGTAATCCTCAGCAGTTTTATTTACGATGCTACGATGGAACGAAGTTCGCTGGCCGAACTCGCCTCTCGTAGTAAAATTGTCAATGTGGTTGTCAAATTACTTAAGAAATTTTGGTAAAACTGGATTTGTATTATGTGTAAATAATCTGGCTCTATTTAAGAATTTGACGTAAAAAAGATTAACGTTTGTGTTCGAATCTGAATTTATCAAAAAATCTGTTTTTTATATTAAATATTCTGCTTTTAATTTTTGACAAAGCGTTCGCAAGGGCGCAACATTCGTAAGACGTTTCGGTCCCCTTAACAACGCACCTTTCTCACGATTCCCTCGTTTAATAGACCTCGATGTAACGGAGTATACGTAAATCATAGTTCTTTGTGTTCGGTGACCTTTTGATGGTCTTTTACCATATGAATGGCTAGAGCGCGAAGGTGTCGACACGTACATCAGAATACATCATGTTTTGAATAGAACCCTTAATATGAAATAAGCTTTGAGCTAAGTTAAATGCTACGAGTTGTTTTATATGGACGCATTGTATGAGTTACTAATTTTAGCATTCTGGTATCCGTAGATTATTAAATTTTCAAGTTAAAAGTAGAGTCATAGTGGCCATTATGCTACTATACGTGGTAGAGCCACGCTGCAGCTATATTACTAATATAGTTGTAGCACGACTGGGTCGGGTCGACCGGGGAAGGACCACGCTCTCACAGAATACCAGCGTGAAATAGCAGCTTGACACTGCTGTGTTTCGTATGATGAATGTAGAGAACCATAGACCCATTTTACTGGAAAAGAGGCATTCCATCTTAATCTAGTAGTAGTAGTTAGATTATTGTGGATAAATGTAGATGTCTATGGGTCACAGGTATATATGAAAAACGTTACCTCCACATTAGGATTTTCTCCTGTATCGTGGGGACAGTTTACATACATAAATTTCACAAGGACAAACATATAGACCTGGAACAATTATTTGTAGGCCATACAAAAACTAGTTCCGTGCGGGATTCGAACCCACGGCCCTTAGCGCAGCAACTCATTGTTAAACTACTACGTCACGGGCCGTGAATTTTTAATATTTTGCCTTTTATTATTACTTTCTACTACAGATATCATTTCAATAGCATTAAACACTTCCTGACTTCCGTCTCGTAATGCGTCGATAGCCTTAATTAAGAAGTGACTCATCCGAATTGACCTTTATATTTCCCCCTTATATTTCCGTAGCCAATTTACCCGAGGGACGTCATTTAATTAAGTCGATGATCCACTTAACTATCGAATCAAATACTTATTCGTATTGTTCCTGTTACAGGCTTGCAACGAGACTGAGTACGCCCGTTGGGTTCGAGCGCTTTGCGTGGAAATACTTGGCCAGACGCCGCTTCCACAAGTCCGTTTTCTTGACGTGTTGCCAGCAGCGGACACCACTCGTGAACCAAAGAAAGAGGCACCACAGCAGGAGACGCCTTCGTGCCCCCCCAGACCGCCACCGAGAGCCCGACGGAGATTGCTGACAACGGAGACACAGCTGCCGCGACGTGACCATTCACCAGCAGCCACGGACGAGGGCATCGTCGTAGAAGACGACGACTACGACTCATCGTCCGACCGCAGCCTCGATCTATCTCTATCCCTCGACGCTCTTAAATCAATTGACGTGATCGACGCGCCGGTACGGAAAGCTAAGATCATCAAATGTCACAACTGCAGCAAAATCAGCGCGAGCCCTCAGCAACATCATACGTTGCCACGGGCGTCTAGGACGGGCGAGTCGGAGAAGAAACGTCATCGATATCTAAAACGTTGGGAGGGCACCACTGGGGGTGCGGAGAGAGGTCGATTTGCGTTAGAGGCGGCGAGGCGCAAGGCGGCCTCTTTGGAGAGTCGAGCGAGGTCATGTTCCCCTAACGCGAATGAGGTGATCTCACAGTACGTTCCGGTTCGCGAGAGGCGCGCTCTTTTCGAGTCGCTATCGCAGAGTGGGGGTAGTTTGGCGCGAAGCAGTGAGCAGCTAGCGAGGCCGGTTGTGGCGACTGCGACACCGAGACGTGCGGCTTCGATGCACGATCTCCAAGCCCCTCCGACGAGATCGGTTAGCGATTTGCGACAGTTCTTTGAAGCGGTCGCACGTGGCGCTAGTTCCTGTGGTGTGCAAAGGCACAGCGCCCCTCCAAACCCTTTACCCCGCGCTTTCGCGTCCCTCACATGCGCATAATTGACCTCTTGTAAATATTGTAGATACGGCGTTGACCGCAACTATCTCACTAAGTCGTTCGTTTTAAGACTGTTAAAAGTATTGTTATAGATGTACCTAATATAAATGAGATGTATTATCTATTCAATTTGGTTTTTTATTTCATATATTTTTCATAGGTACATAACTTCTTTACGTTTTAGCTTTTAGCTCATGCTGCAGCTCTATTATGGTTGTAGCACGAATGTGTCGGCTCGAGTGGGGTAGAACCACGCTCTTACAGAATACCTGCGTAAAATAGCAGCTTAATGCTGCCGTGTTTCGTATGGTGAGTGTAGAGAACCAGAAATTATTTCCACTGGAAACGAGGCATTCCATCTTAGTCCTCAGGGTGGCAACGCATCTGCATTTTAAATCTTACTCGTAATCTAGGGTAAATGTAGATGTCTATGGGCCACAGTATCCACTTACCATTAGGTGGACTGTGCTCGTTTGTCACCCCAATTCTATAAAAACATACATATTAGCTCACGTTTTAGTAGATAAGAAGTACAGACGAATCGTTACAGAATGTCAAAATGTCAGTAAGCGTTAGTGCTGTGCTGCAAAGGTTGAGCCGCAGGCCTTGCATAGTCCTTCGCTCGGTATTGCGTTGTTGTAATACATTCTCTTGCTAAATATTCTGTAAACGCGGCCTCTTAGCATTGTTAATATTACAAACTTTATTTGACAAGAAACATAAGTTATTGCATTTTCGACATTTGTTCTTATTAATGTGCATACATTACTTTTAATAACGTCAGTAAAATACTTATGAAATAGAAATGAATTTTGCATTTAGGTATCACAAACATACAAACAAAAATGGTTTTAATTTATTTTATTTTTATTAATTTATTTATTTATTTATTTATTTATTTAAAAAGGTACACCAACAGTACATGTATACATATTATAAAAGTTACATTTTTAAAGCACAATTACTTATACATATACCTATTATAGGCGTACACAACATTGATAGGAGATATTAAATAACAACACAATATATATCTGAAAATTTTAAAACAATGAAATAATAAAATTCACCAAAGCAAAACTTAACTGAAAACAAATGCGTGTTCATAAAAGGCTGGCCAGTTTTCGTTTAAATTTAAACAACGAGTCGTGGAAAATGTCTAAGGTATCAATATTCATCTCGTTGTACTGTGCGCAACATCTGGCAAGAGGAGAATGGCGTCCAAGGTTAGTCCTTACAGAAGGCAAGGCAAAAGTTTTTTTTGATAGGATGTCGGGGCATGCGAGCTGGCACCGTCAATTTAACACGTACCAGGAGTTCACTACATTTTATTTTACCGTTGACAAGTCCGTGCAAAAACACCAAATCCTGGTCTCTTCGACGGCTACGCAACGATTTCATTTTAAAGAAGGCAAGACGATGCTCATATGGTGACCGGTGTGACACGCCCTGCGAAATAAATGCCAGATGCCTAGTGAACGCACGCTGAATACCCTCCAAGCGTTGAGATTGAACAGCATATACAGGGTTCCATGCCACGCTAGCGTACTCCAAGTTACTTCGGACCAAAGCATTGTATAATATTTTATGGGTGCAATTTAAACGGAAACCCGCAGTACTTCGCCTAAGAAAACCTAGCATTTTCGAGGATTTATTTACAATATTATTAATATGTGAAGTGAATTTAAGGTGCTTGTCTACTGTTACACCTAAGTCTCTTATTTCTTCTACTTCAGTTAATGTTGAGCCGTTAATTACATAAGTGGATGGGAAATAATTTTTCTTCTTTGTAAATTTAATATGGTAGCATTTATCAACGTTCAGGGTCATAACGTTTGATTCACACCATGTCTGAATACTGTTTAAGTCCTCCTGGATAAGTTTCATATCATGAGAAGAATTGACTGCCCTGTAAATTTTTAAGTCATCCGCAAATAGGCTGAATTTACAATTTTTTATGTGCATCGTTATATCGTCGATAAATATAAGAAACAATATTGGGCCTAAGTGAGAGCCCTGTGGGACTCCTGATGATGCAAAATATATATCTGACTCATAACCCCCAACAGCAACTACCTGGGGTCTCATACTGAGGTAAGACCTAAACCAGTGAAGCAAACTACCATGTATCCCTTTTATTTGTAATTTCGTTAAAAGTAGTGCGTGATTTACTTTATCAAAAGCACTGGTAAAATCCGTGTATACAGCATCAATTTGACTTCCACTATCCACCCCCAGTGCAATTTCAGAAATAAATGAGATCAAATTAGTCTGCGTTGAGCGGCCCCTGCGGAACCCATGCTGGTACTCAGATAGTGAAGTATCTATGTGTCTAATAATTAGTGGATTAATCAGAGACTCAAACAATTTAGAAAAAGTAGACAGAATGGAAATCGGCCGGTAGTTTTTTACGTTGCTTGTTTCCCCTTTTTTGTATACAGGTACTATTTTTGCTTTTTTCCATTCCTCGGGGAACACACCATCTCTGAGTGAACAATAACAATAATAAAAGAGTAAAGTAACCGGTATAGTCTCAACGGATTAGTAAGCTGAAGTGACCGGCCATATAACTCGAAGAACCGACAGCTGATGGGGAAGAAGGGTTCTCGAGTGGCAGCCACGTACAGGTAGGCGAAGTGTAGCGCAGCTAGATGGAGTGATGAACTGTCTAATGGTCGGTACACACGACAACGATTTATCGTTGCAAACTGACTGCGCAGACCATTTGTGCAGTTTTATCGTACGTGTGTACAGAAATCGACGCAGATTTTTTGGTTTGTGCAAGCCATCGGAGCAAGGTTTAAAATCTATTCGATAAATCGTTGTCGATCGCGTTTGCACAGTTTTATCGTAGTGTGTGTACGGAAGTCGTACCAATCGTCAGTTCATTCGCATGGCTTGGTGTAGGGGGACGCGTCGAAAATGAAGTTTGTTTGTGGAATAAGAAAAGTAAAGATTATCACGACCGCAACAAGAAAAATGCTGCGTACGATAGGCTAATTATTAAGTACAAACCTATTGATCCTAATGTCAATAGGGAGATGGTAGTAAAGAAAATAAATAACCTGCGGACTTCTTACAAGAAGGAACTCAACAAAGCCAAAAATTCCTTAAAATCCGGAGTCGGAACCGATGAAGTCTATGTTTCTCGTTTGTGGTACTTCGACTTAATGAATTTTTTATATGATGAAGAAATACTAGTAGAACTTTGTACAAAGCATCACAAGTTTCAGGAATAATTTGAATGAGAGCCTGTTTTGATATTAACGTAGAAAACTTCATACATTCGTACGAGCGACCTGTAACTAAAAACCTCAGAGTTGCAGACAATCTTTCATGGGAACTTATTGCTTCTCTCATCACGGTATTGCTTTTTTGTATTAGCAGTATAACTAAAAACAGGAGATGTAAGTAAGTCTCTTCATTCATCCTCAAATAATTGTGCCAGTCTTTTGGGGAAAATTTCAACTCTTCTATGACTTTCTTTTAAGAAGCCAATCCGTACACCACACTCTACGTGATTTTCTTTTCTTTTTGCACAAAACAAGCCAGGCTAGCGCAAGCGCTTCATCGTCTTCCATCACGAATGACGTGTTTTTCTTCTGAGTTTCTGCCGAGAACTGATGATCGACGCAGATATAGTAGACGTGTGGACGCACTATGGATGTTCGATAAACTGCGCAAACGAACTGTGCAGTTCGTTTGCGCAGTTTTATCGTTGCCGTGTATACCGGGCTTAAGACATGCAGGAAGTCGATGGATGCAGGTGGCTCAGAACTGTGATTTGTGGCATTGCTCGTGGGAGGCCTATGTGCAGCAGCTGGCTTGTGAAGGGCTGTAACAATTGAATGAATGAATTGTTAATTAACTATTTTTTGTGGAAGTATATATTTCACTTCACATTGACTTCAAACAAAGAAGGATTCAGTTGTGGTGTTATCTTTGAGGACTAAAATAAAATGCCTAGTAACTATGCTGGTGTTAGTTCTCCATACTAGTCCTCTCCGGAACACAACAGTGCGCGCATCGCTGCTTATGACTAGAAAAAGGTTAGATAGTAGCATCTAGGAAATTAATGTAATATATAATATAGAGAATAAATGTAAAATTTTATTGCATGCCGTAAGCGCAAAGCGCAATTTTATCTTTTTACGACTATACCACTGTATCAATTTTGGTGATCTTTAGCAAGTATAGGTGGCATCCTTAAGATGGAAAGGCTTTCTCCTTTTTTATTTTGATATTCTTACTCAGGGACTTCTATGCGGACGGATGTGCGGGTAGTTGGTTAATAATAAAGTTAATATGATAAAAACAGCGGGTAACTCCGAATTTTCATGGGAATTTTGCCATAAGCCCTAAACAGATGAAATACATATCATACCGTTCTCTTCACGGTCTGGACAGCAGCATGATCATCGTTCATCATCAGTCTCTTCTACAGCTGCACATCGGTCTATGTTGGTACACACCATTAGTTTTAACTGATTAGATAAGTCTTTCAACCCTACAGCACACACATGCTTAGTTTAAATAAGCAGTTCTATCATGGCTTCGCTCGAAGATGCATCGGGAATAATACATCAACATACAAAGACAACATACATACAAAGTGAGAAAAGGCAAATAGGGGTACAAGGCCTCTTAAAAATTATTCATTCTTTCATTCATTAATTATAACCCTTCGCAATAAATATAACAGTCTATTTTAAATATAGCGTTCTATCTCAAACACTTTTTACACGTGCCACAGTTTCTCAAATCGTCCAGGTTTGACTGGTAGAGAATGCCATAAGGCATTAGATTCTTTATATATCCCTTATTTGTGTGTAATAAAGGTTAAATAAATATTACTGTTTTCGTGAAAATAGTCTTAGATTACGGTTAGTCTTCTGGCTTCTAATAAGCTCTTATACAGTTCTTGTTCGTAAAAATTCATTCATTCATTCATTACCGCCTTTCACAAGTACACTGCCTCTCATCTCAAGAAATGCCAAAAACA